AATGGGGAGCATTACAGAAAAAAAATGCCTTTGGACCCTCACACCTCTCACCTCAGGACTGTGGAGTATCCTAAGCTTCCCTATCAGGGATGCACTTCAGAATAAGTAGCATCCAGAAGGCAATTTTGAGGATACCTTGGCATGAATCCATGTAAGGTTTTAAAGGTTAAAGCCACCACTTTGTATTACTCTCAAAAGCTTATTTGTAATTAAAGTAATCCCTACAGCATCTTATGTTATATAGCCACAATAGCTGTCACCTGGCAGTATCCAGACTGCTGCATTTCGTACCAACCACAGCTTTCAGGTGATCTTCATTTCTACTCATGCTTTGACTCATATATCATACATAGTAGTATATAGCATATCTGGGTGAAAGTGGCTGTCTCCACTTCAATAAAATTTAGTTATTCTTAATACGACCAATTTGGCATACTTTTATTTCTGCTTTGACCATTTCAGATTTTTTTAGTTTGTAGAACTCAAATTCCCATCAAACATCAGGCTTTCTTGTAATTTTGGTTTGGCCACATTTCTATCTCCAGACCTACTTATTATGAATGTTCTATGTCTGCTCCAATAACTAGAGGATCTGAGAGTTTCCTCATCTGACACACAAACTTACTTAAATATTATAGACATGTCCGGTAGTTTGCAAGGGTCCTTGACTGTCGATACAGACGTGGTTTGCCATTGCTTGCTTTCACATTGATTTTAAAATTATTTATCATACGTAGATTTACTTCTTTCACTTCTGCAGAACTAGATCTGCCCTCTGCTAGCTATAGATTATTCTTAGCTTTCCCCTCCCCTTTTAGTATTACTGACAAGAATGAATTTAATAGGAGTTCCGGCTTCCAGCTTATACTGATCTCAGAATCAGTGAAGTTAGTGTATCCTCTCACTCACTAGAATTGACAGGTTTGTGACATAGCTATTCCTATCTTTTTATTAAGAAGTACCTCAGAGCACTTAGTTCAAATTCACCATCAGTGGTAAAAACTCGTTTTCTTTGCAATGAGTGGAATTTGAAAGCTAGAATACAAATGGTTGTTGCTGTTGTTATTAGTATCTTTCTGAAGATTTCTGAAAAGGAGCAAATATAATGAACACATTAGACAGGGTTTTTTTCCTATACACACTTCTCATACACCCCAATAGGGTTCAATCTATTGAACAAACCCACTTTGGAATAATTTATTGTATACCACTTTCAGATATTTGGCCAGCAAAGTTTCTTCCATCATGTCATTGACATTCTATTCTGTTATTCTACTCTGTTATTCTATGTTCTGTGTTCTAAAGTTTTTCATGGTGAGCAGGAAGATATGTATCTTCCGCTAATATGTATAAGTGTGATTGTGTGTAGAGGTAGTGCTCAGCTTACAACCATAATGGAGCCTGCCTATTACAGTCATAAGTTGTGGGAATTCATGTGACTGATCCAATTTTATGACCTTTTTTGCTAAAGCAAATGCTGCAGCTAAAGCAAATGTTGCAGTTGTACAGCAACCTATTGTTCATTATGAACATTTTTACTAAAAACTGGAAATGATTGCTGATTTTCAGCAAAATATCATAAAAGTGCTGGCTACACTGCAAACATCCATAAATGAAGGCCGTTGCTAAGAGCCCAACATGCAGTCCCGTGACCACGGGGGGGGGGGGAGGAATACTGTATTTTCCGTGTATAAGATGCTATTTTTTCCTGCAAACACCCTCTTCAAAAATCAGGTGCATCTTAAATAATGGTAACCTCCACAGCCCAGGTAATCCCTGTGTGGATTGCCATGCTGCCTGGTGCAGGTGTCAAGCCCCTGTGGGCTTGCCACTAACGGGAGGGGGGAGGGGGCAAGATCTTTGGCTGGCCGAACTTCCAGATTTATACAAGGGTGCGTCTTATAGATGGAAAAATATGGTATGCAGACATCTGTGTAGGTATGGTAGAGCAGTAATTTAGAATCCTCTTTTAGAAAGTAGACTGTTTTGTCTTTTCTAAATTAAAAGATACCTGATATATTAAAAGAAGCGGTAATAGCTCAAAGAATTTCAGGACAATCTGCATGGATGTAATTGCAAGACTTTTGGGAGGGGGGACTTCAGGAATTAATGGAGAAGGAAATCATCTGATTTGTACCATCATTTGATTTGTATTTTTAATACAATACAGGTAGTCCTCGACTTACAATGGTGTGTTTAGTGACTGTTTGAAGTTACAACGGCACTGAAAAAACGTGACTTATGACAATTTTTCACACTTATGAACATTGCAGCATCCCCAAGGTCATGTAATTGACAACTGATGCTTGACAACTGGTTCATATTTATGATGCTTGCAGTGTCCCAGGGACATGTGACCATCTTTTATGACCTTCTGACAAGTAAAGTCAATGGGGAAGATTCGCTCAGTATTGCAGGCTAATTAACTGCTGATTGCTAGGAGTTCGATTCTGACCAACTCAAGGTTGACTCAGCCTTCCATCCTTCCAAGGTCAGTAAAATGAGGACCCAGATTGTCGGGGGCAATGTGCTGATGTTGTAAATGGCTCAGAGAGGGCTCTAAAACACCATGAAGTATAAGTCTAAGTGCTATTGCTACTAATTTAACAACTGCAGTGATTCATTTAACAATTGTGGCAAGAAAAGTCATAAAATAGGACAAAACTCACTTAACAAATTTCTCACTTAGCAATTCTGGACTCAGTTGTGGTCATAAGTCAAAGACTACTTGTACAATCTAATTTACAGATTACAAACCAATATGCAAACCAAAATTAAATTATGATTCATTTTTGTACTTCACTTTTATCAATGCATAGCAACTATAGTAGAAGAGCTATTTAACATATAAGACTAAAATATTTAGTTGGGATGAAGAAAGAACCAGGAAATACATTAAAATAAAAAAATATCATTCCTTCCCAGACAGAATGATGTAAGGAACCTGACTCATTTTTGATATACTGCTCACAAAAATAAAGGGAACATTTTAACATGGAACTGAAGGAGTTTGCGTTCCCTTTATTTTTTTGAGCAGTATATTTGTTCTTCTTACTAGCTTTCTAGCTGTTCAGTTGTGCTGCTTGTAATACTAGGGGTTTGGCAGTTGCATATATGGGAAGTCAGGAGAAGAAATAATGTACTGAGAAAGTAAACATAAGGCAGCAAGACCTGAGGAGGAATGATGACTCTATGCCAAATCTACTTCCTTCATGTCCTGTCTTCTAGTGACCTGCTAGGGAAATGAGTTTTGTTTTATTAATGAAGGAAAAGGAGACTTCTGAATCAAAAAATGCAGAACACAGACAGGTCTCAAGTGTGCTTCCATAACAATCTCCATGCATGCTTGTTAGCTGTAACAGTGAGTACTAGCTCCCAGTCTCCCAATTGCCTCTAATTGGATAATCCCAGGCACTCATAGTGATTTATTCTATCAAAGCTCTCATGTTCTCAGTTCTTCCCTAGTTAAATAGCCTGGTGCTTTAACATTCTGTTGTTAGATTTCCTCTCAGCATTCTGTATTATGTTCACAGTGTTTAGCTGCCTTTGGGGGTTTCCTTCCCCCCCACTTCCATTCATGTCCAATTGATTTCAAAGAGAACTCCCGGGTAGGTCCCTGCTGTTTTCTTCCCATGTCAGAAGTGCCTTTGCCTCCTTCCTAGGGCTGAGAGAAACTGACTAGCCCAAGGTCACCCAGCTAGCTTCATGCCTAAAATGGGACTAGAACTGTTTCTATACCGATGCTTTACACCAAGTTTGCTAATTGGGAATGGAGAGAAAAGATGTTGGAGACATCTTTGGTCACCAATGTCCCATTTGGTTCTTAGAACAGAGTCCCTCCCTCCTCCTTCTCTCCTACTTAGTATTCCAAACTATGAATTGGGTAAATACTTATCTAACATCATAGGCCAGGACTTATCATCCAAGAACTCCAGGCCAGCTTGACCTTGGGCCAGTCACACCCTCTCTGCCCAACTCACCTCACAGGGATGTTGTTGTGGGGAAAATAGGAGGAAGAAATTGTGCTGGATATTTTGGCTTCCGTGAGTTATTTGTAAATATAATAAAGGTGGAATATAAATAAGCAAACTCCAGGCCAGTTGCTGAGTCTAGTGTCACAACTCCTTGTTTTTAACACACTTCCCTGTTTTGGAACAAGAATTATTTGTGAATTTATCTGCCTGTATGTTCACTTTGATTACAATTAGAGAAAATGGGTGTTCTTTAAATATGAGCTCAGAAGTTTCTCTTTGTTGTTTTAATATAGGAATATACAGTGCCATTTTTCCATCCTTACATTCCGATTTTCATATAGAAAGCCTTTCAATGTCTGCAACAATCCAAAACTTGTTAAAATCCTTCAAATGGTATTCTATTTGTGCTTTTTGCTTTTTCTAAATCAATTCCTGTTCTTAGTTTTTGAAAACTGTGTGCCATTGAGAAAGCAATTACTTAGTGCACTTATAAATCATTATTTTTATATTGCTTAATTGATGGGCAGTTGGTTTAAAAAATATACCATTGATGAATTCATTAATAAAAAGCTAAAGTTTTTATCATACAATATTCTATTTCATCTATTTTTTTCCTGATTAAAATACAGGAAGAAATGTGTTGTTTACTAATGTAATACTATTGGAGGTTGCAGGCAATGACATCTTTTCGGGAATGTATTCTTATTTGGAGACAATTCCTGGAATTGATGTAATTAGGGATTTTCAGTCATTAGGATCCTAAAACTGTTCACATTAAAATTAATACAAGTTTTACAATGTTGTTAATGGTTTCTTGGAAATGATGCTGCATGCCTTTTAACACTGTAATGTACTTTTTTTTTTATTTAAAGACCTTAGATCTTAGATACATCATGTTCACAAACTGTAACTGAAAATGAACCAGAGGTTAATACTTCAATGCAACAGCAAAGATGTCTGCTCAGTACAGTACCACTAATCTATTTTCTTTTTCTCTTTCTTGCTTTTCTTCTTTCTCTTCAATAGAAGTGGAACAAAAAGGTAATTAAATAGTTTTCACCTGTTTTATACATATACTCATTCTAAGCAATTAGGGGATAAAATGTTAAACACTTGAATGTTAGTTGAAGCTCTTTCATCATTAACCTATACCACTTTAATCTCTTTTATTAAAGATTTGGTCAGGGAAGGAGTGGCTGCTATTTAATACTAACATGTCATCTTTTTGCAAGAAATGTTTAATAGTACCATTCTTCTTTCCTACAGATTTTTTTAACAATTATAATGTATTCCTTCTGCTTCCTCACAATTTATGGGAAGCATATGAAATAATTTGCAAGAATACTCACATACTCTCATATTGAAAATTGTTTTTATATAATATTAAACATTAAAAGGTACAGTCTCATGCATGTCTACTTATAAGTAACTTTTTGGGTTTCAGTGGTATATCTTTTTGAGTGTGTACAAGCTATAGCTTCAAAGCATAAATTGAATGAAGAAGGGTTTGAATAGTTCTTGTCCAAAAACTGAAAAGCTAAATTTTCTGTATATGGTTTGATGCCTACTACAGCTGAACAGACAGCAAAGGATCAAGACCACACTGCATAGAGTATTTTTTCTAGCTTACTTTCTATGTCACTTGACCCAAGGCTCTCACTTTTGGGAGAGTTTGGATCCATAAGTACATAGGGAACATGTACCTCTGCATTTGAGTGTATACTGTACAAATGTAATATAGATTTCTGAAGATCTAGGATAAAGTTGATTGGTATACTTATTACACATTTTGTTGTTAAAGTTTGCATTAATCAAAACCCTGAAAAATATAATAGTACAGTATCACTTATTTAATAATGAATTTATTTATGCACTTACTTGCTTGTTTTACTCATTTATTTATTATTGTTTGAAACTGACCCCTGCAGTTCTCAGGGCAATGAATAATCAACTGAAATCATATTAAGGAAAACCAAACAATATAAAAGAAAGCATAGGAATCGTCAGCGCAAAATCACTAGCAACAATAAAAGGAAGTAACATTAAATGTGTCTATAAACTCGCACTAATGAAGCAGGCCATAAAAAAAGTTCTAAAACCACCAAAATTGTTTTTAAATGCTGGCAATATAGAGCACTAAAAAACACAATATAGATACCAGACAAAGGCATTTTAGAAACAGGACATCATCACTTTTGTGACTTCCCTTCTTTGGTGAGAGCAGATTGAGATACCTATAAATTTTTGAAGGCCCAAATGACTCTTCAGGATACATCCTTTAATGCTGTTTTGTCTAGACTGAATCTTAGTTTATTAGCTCTTTAACCGATTCCTTGTTCTGCTTCTGAATATCAATTGCCTTATTTGTATTAGGAAAGGAAGGCTGGATGTCACCAGTAGAATATTGATAATAAATAAATAAACAAACAAACAAACAAACAAACAAACAAACAAATAAATAAATAAATAAATAAATAAATAAATAAATAAATAAATAAATAAATAAATAAATAAATAAATAATAAATAAAGTGGCTAAATCACTGCCTAGTATGTATAACTTTCCAGGTTCGAATCCCATAAAGGGTATGGCTAACTGATGAAGGCAAAAAAGCCAGAAATGGTCCATCTTAGTCTCCCAATTTAATTCTTTACTCTTTGTCAGAAAAAAGAAATTTGGATATAAAAATATTTCGCAGTTGCGACTTGAGCCTGCTCTATGCCCCTAGTTGGGGGCGGCAAGGCAAGAGATACTGTAAAAAGAGTAAAACTGCAGTATGGCAGTTGAAAATGTCAAGGTGTTCACAATTGGTCTGCCATACTGCGGTTTTACTCTTTTTTACTGCGGTTTTACTCTTTTTATATATATATAAAAGCTCAGGAAATAAAGTCCTGAGGAATCCATTTCATAATTTCCATGAAACACACAATCATCTCCTCAGTGCCACTTTTTGAATTAGCTATCCAAATAGGAGGGGAACCATTATGATAACTTCTTCTTCGTCCCAATTTGTTCATAAGGGTACTATGGTTATGGGATTAAAAGTTATTGAGAGAAAATGACTTTAATTCAAAAGTGCCCAGTGAGGGTAACATAATTGTTTTAAATATTCAACCTGCACTAATAATACTAATAATTTATCAAACTTGAATGCTGCCTGGGCCTTAAATAGCAGTATACTCACAGCTTCTTTTGAAGAGGCTGGAGCAGCCCATGTTCCTTATGGCAGTTCCATAAGCATCATCCAGTTAACTGAGAAATCACATGTGGGCTGGTAACTGTACACTAGCATTTTCATTGGGTAAGGCTCCTCTGAGGAGCATTACACACATGCACACACAAACACATGGTGCCTCTCCAGCTTCTTACTCTTCACTCCAGCTGTTTTTTTCAACCTTCAAGAAATAACCAAGCAAACGCACAATAATTAGCTAAGAGAGTATTCCTTAATTTTCATCTGAGTATAAATTGGTTTCATTGGACACAAAAATGCCCTTGTGTGGGCACTTGTAGCTATCATTTTAAACATACATTTTTTATACCTCATTCCATTTTCAATGCAAAGACAATGGGGCTTGTTTCCCATACAATTTGCCCATATTTACTATGCTTGGGAATACCCATGTTTAAGATTACAGAAAAAGAGATGAGGAAAATATGTCTATTTATAATCATAACTTGAAAAGAACTAATATCAAAATAAATTATCTTATTAATCAGTTCAAATCCTCCAACTTTAAATGTATCCATAGTGATATCTTTTAGTGACAGTCCAAAATGCTCACTAGTTGATTGTGAGAGGGATCCTTTAGGGCACTTTCACAGCATCAGTGTTTCTGTCACCCTTCATCCACACAAAAGGAAATAAATTTCTAGGGAATTTTTCCATTCATGTTTTAGTATATCAATTGTGCAGATTTGTCTGATGTTCTGCAAAAGAAAAAAGTCAGAGTCAGAAATGAAAGTTCTGAGAATCAGAACTCAATTCCCAAAAGAAAGTGATATTCAAAGCTAATCATGAAGCTATATGCTGGGTGAAGGTGCTCTTATAGTCCCAGTGCAAAGGAATACTACTGTAGAAAGAAAGGGAATAAATCCTTCTTTGAAATTATATTTTTTTAAAAAGATTGAAAGAAAGAGAAGGTAACTTTCCAAATAGTAGCATGAAAGCTGAAAGTTCTTTTTCTATTTTGAGCTGCTATTGCATTTCAGCCATTCATTTTTTGAGGGACAAAGGATATTTGCTGAGAATACTCAGGTCCAGGGGTCCTTGGAAATTCAGTCTGACCTTAAAGGTTTGATTATGGCTGTCCAACCTTTTGGCTTACCTAGGCGACTTTGAGTGTAGACAAATTGTCTTGGGCCGCATAGAAAATATTACTAATAACCACTTAATAATGTTAAAAATTTACGATCTTGTGGGGCTGCATTTTTAGCTATCCAGGGCCATATGTGGCCCACGGGCCAAAGGTTGGACACAGCTGATCTAAGGCACTATATAAGATTAAAAGATGTCTTTGATTCCTTTAGCCAATCGCAAGGTACCAGAAGTAAAGCAAATTAGGAAAGCCTGGTTTAAACACCACCGCCGCCGCTTCCCTACACTCAACTAAATATTACATTATTTACTTAGAATTAAGGTCCAGAGCAAGTAGGCTTAGGATGAAAATTGCTGTTGGAAGAAACTAAGCATTTGGAGGGGTTTATTTCCAAATAGAAAGAAACCCAAAGTTCACTATACTGGCTTCAAAAGGAAGAGCCAGAGCTTATATTTCTCCTCAGTTTTTTTTTTTTTTTTTTTGCCTCGGAAGACACCATAGAGTATGTGAAACATTTCCCACCCCCAATGGTCTCTGGCAAAGCAAGTACATTCCTTTTTCCTCGTGGAACTGTAATTCTAGGGATGGGCAATTCTGATTGGCTTGAGGGCCATACACAATAAGCAGGGATAGGGTTGCCATCAGGAACTCTAGAAGGTAAAATGGGTGCCTTGTACTGTATGTCAGTGGGAGTTGGTCAATGGGAAAGGCTGGAAAAGCACCAAACAGGTCAGCATCTGTTGCCAGTTTGTAAATGGAGCTGACTTAGAATTGGACAGCCGTTTGTCTGAAATGGTGTAGGGTTCCTGCCTGGGCAGGGGGTTGGACTCGATGACCTCCAAGGTCCCTTCCAACTTTATTATTATTATTATTATTATTATTATTATTATTATTATTATTATTATTATTATTATTATTATTATACAGAGTAAAGTTTCTATCCTACTTCCTTCTCTGTTCTTATTTTTTAGCCATGGCTGTTGCTGAGGTCAGATCTCTTACAAAAGTCTCGGCATCCCAGTTTCAATATTAACATATATTTGCTTTTGAAATACCAATCTTGATGCCAAGTTGAGCTTTAGTGAGAGATTGACCTCAATAGGTAAGGCTCCCCATGGCAGCTGGCTCTGCTATATAGCTTGGAACACTTCTATCTGCTCATGCTTTGCTTTGGTCTTTCCAATCCAAGATGATGTTGCATTCATTCTTTGAATGTCTTGTAGAAATAACAATTGAGAGCCCTCCAGGTACAGGTACCAGTAGGAAATTTTTGAAGATGGATTAATGCTGTAAGAAAATTCCCCTTCTGCTTCAAATGCAAACACCATCCAGTATAAGGATTGTCCTCAGGATCAAAACAGGAAAGGAAAAGATTTGCAGGCCATACTTGATATTGTCCATTAATTGGTACACACATCCCAGCTGATGCTGTTTGCATTTTTATTAAATGCAAATTAAATTTCATGTCATACCTTGTTTGGCTTAGCTTTAGACAGGATAGGGGAATTCTATGCATTGTATCATTTTTTACTGAGATATGGAACAGAACTTAATGTAATAACTGTATACAAAAAATAGACCTTATCTGAACCAAAAAATACAATAACATTATAATGCAATGGATTAAATTCTGAAAAATTAAGTACAGGTAGTTCTCAACTTATGACCACAACTGGGACCAAAATTTCCATCACTAAGCAAGGCAGTTAAGTGAGCCATACCCAATTTTGTGACCTTTTTGCCATGGTTGTTAAGCAAATCACTGCAATTGTTAAGTGAACCAGGTGGTCATTAAGTGAACTTAGTTTTCCCCATTCATTTTGCTTGTTGGAAGCTGGTTGGGAAGGTTCCAGATGGTGATCACCTGACCCCTGGGCCACTACAACCATCAGGGCCAAGGGCGCAAATTTTGATCATGTGACTATCAGGATGCTGTGATTCTTGTAAGTGCAAGGACTGGTCATAAATTACTTTTTTTCATTGTAACTTCGAGTGATTACTGAATGAAAGGCTATAAATCAAGGACTTCTTGTATAATAGTTTATCATATAACAAAGTCGGCATTTAAAAATGTTTCTTAAAAAGAATTATATCTAAAACCATATTTTGGTGTTGGAGGGAAAAAGCATTAATTACAAGATCTGTGTAATAGAACATCTTAGCAGGTCAGTCTTGGCAGTTATGAATTGCTTAAGTAATATTTTTATTTTTACATATTTCAGAGGACATTTTAATGCTTTAATGTAGTCTTCCTGTATTGAATTTCACTTTTTCCTTTTTATTGCTCCTGTTTTTTTCCTTCCTCAGGACACATTATTTAATTGTTTATTATTTGCTATGAATGCATTCTGAATGTATTTATGTGGCAATTCCCCAGCCCTTTTTAATATTTAAACTGCACACCATAAGAATGATTTCTCTGAAATAGAGTTTAAATGTCTTTTTAGTTGCTTTTTTTGGTTTTATAGTAGTATATGTTGTATATGTCACGTCATAGTTAAAAGTTATAATTCCTATAAATTTCCCCTTAGAACCATGTTAGTTCAGAACATCATTCATGTATTTTCAGAGTTAGGAGAAGATTGATATTTTTAGTTCTTCTCCTGGAACTTGAGTTATAAATGTCTAAGTGCCAAAAAAAAGTATTCTATCACATTTAATAATCAATTTTACTTTTAACCTCTTCCTTCCCTTCAGTTTTTCTTTGCCCTGGACTACTAAAAGGAGTATACCAGAGTGAACATTTATTTGAATCTGATCACCAGTCAGGAGCCTGGTGTAAGGATCCACTGCAGGCTTCCGATAAGATTTACTACATGCCATGGACACCTTACAGAACTGATACTCTGACAGAATATTCTTCCAAAGATGATTTCATTGCTGGAAGGCCAACTACAACTTACAAGCTCCCACACAGAGTGGATGGCACAGGGTTTGTGGTGTACGATGGGGCTTTATTCTTCAACAAAGAAAGAACAAGGAACATTGTCAAATTTGATCTACGGACAAGAATAAAAAGTGGGGAAGCTATCATTGCTAATGCCAACTATCACGATACATCCCCTTATAGATGGGGAGGCAAATCTGATATAGACCTGGCTGTTGATGAGAACGGTCTTTGGGTGATCTATGCAACAGAACAAAATAATGGTAAAATAGTCATAAGTCAGCTAAACCCTTATACCTTGAGGATTGAAGGGACATGGGATACATCCTATGATAAAAGGTCAGCTTCCAATGCATTCATGATCTGTGGCATTTTATATGTAGTTAAATCTGTGTATGAAGACGATGATAATGAAGCTACAGGAAATAAAATTGACTATATATACAACACTGAACAAAGCAAGGAAAGTGTAGTGGATGTTCCATTTCCAAACTCATATCAGTATATTGCTGCAGTGGATTATAATCCAAGGGATAACCTTCTTTATGTATGGAACAACTACCATGTGGTTAAATATTCATTGGATTTTGGACCAATGGACAGCAGAACGGGTAAGGTTCTTTGATAAGTTTTATTTTCTGTCATATCTTGCTTTGCAACTAATTTAGTCTGTGGCTAAGGCGAGTTTTTTTCCTTCCATTAAAAGCAGCAGGATGAGAGTTTGACAGGAAAATAGAACAAAAACTTTTATCTGTGAATGTTTTTCTTTCATCTTAAACAGCCTTCCTCTCCTTGACTACTACTCCAGTGGAGATGAGAAAGACAATGATGGGATTCATGTATCCCTTTATGTAAACCTTAGGAGGTTTATCATTTATTCATGTTGTGGGTACAAGTCATTGTTATTCATTTGCATTGTCATTTATAGAAACATAGAAAACTGACAGCAGAAAAAGACCTAGTGATCTATTGATTCTGTCCTTTCAATTTTTTATTACTGTGATTTTATTTCTATTTGTGTTAGATGATGAGTGTGTATTTATCCCAAGCATATTTAAACTCAGTTACTGATGACCGACCCACTACCCCCACTGGAAGTTGGTTCCGAGCTTCCACTACTCTTTCTGTGAAGTAATACTTTCTAACATTACTTCTGAAGTTCCCTCCTATCAGTTTGAGGTTGTGCCTCCATGTTCTTGATTTTTGCTTAATATTGTACAGCCTTCTAGAACCTTATTCACAGCCTTAATATATTTAAAGGTTTCAATCATGTCTCCCGTTTCCCTTCTGTCCTCTAGGCTGTACATATTCAATCTCTCTTGATATGTTTTCTCCCTCAGACTTTGCACCATTTTTGTTGCCCATCTCTGGACTTGCACAATGTTATCAATAACTTTTTATAAGTGAGGTCTCCACAACTGGACACAGTATTCCAAATGGCATTTATCTAAAGTCCTATATAGATTATGATTTAGATTTACAATTTGATGTTATATGTAAATTCACAAATTGTGCACTATTCAACAACCATGTTTAAAGAAAATATATAGCTTATATGTTCGAACACAATCATAATCTTTATAGTTAGTAAATATATTAAACCTCAGGTAGCAAGCCAAAGAGAGTTCAGTTTTAGGTTAACTCTGCATAGTTGCAGTGTATTAGAAAAAGCTGCTTTAGGATGTGAGGATGCATGTAGAAAGCATCTTTTGAATAATTAAAGCAGCCATGTCTTTCTAAGGTTTGTGCTGCTTCAGAAGCATCTCTACAAATAAAGGCAGAGGCAGAGGCAACCAAACTGAGCTTTCAAAAGCTTTTGAAATATGCACTTCCTTTACCAATTCAAAACAAGATACTTTGCACATTCTGCTTTGCATTCCCAAACAGACATTTCTAAGTACCTTTTGCAAAGATTGAGAATGTGGGGTGCCACTAGTTCACTTTGCAATAATCATGGCATTTAGGTTGGTTAATGTTTTACATGTGCGTAAGTGAGGCAACTCTTGTAGTGCCTCCTCTTTCAGGATGCTAGGCCTGAGAAGCTGGATTCCTCTTGGAAGTCTGGAAGGTGAGATGTCCCACCTCCTTGCTCTTCCCATCTATCATGCCTGATTAAATTATCTCTGCCAGCAGTTTTGTTTAGCTGTGGTACTGCCTAGAGAAAAGGTGGAATCCTGATGAGACAGCAGACATCATTGGCTGAGCAATAATTTCCTTACATCACTTTTGAGACATGATCCCACAGGAAAAAACAGAATTCTTGTAAAAATACTGCCACCAATGTCCTGCCAGTTGGTCAAGGACACCATGTTCATGGTGATGGAGTGGTAGCTTCCCTGTTGAACTCCTTATGATGTTCAGTAGTAGGGAAAACTGATTTTCACACACAAAAAGTATCCCAATTAACAAAAAACTGCCAAAAGTGAAAAAGGCTGCCATTTGGGGACCATGTATTCAAAGTAAAACATAAAATATAGGATCCAGAGAGCCTATTCACTGAAAATATAGTGACTTCAGTGCTATCATCCTTAAGAAGTTGATCAGTGTGGAGTTCACTGGTGATGTCACAGTATTAATTCAGCATGCAGAATGTAGATGAATTTGGGAGACAGAAAAAGTAAATTTTAAAAAGAAAGCAAATCATTGAGAAAAGTGGCTTGGCCTGAAGATAGAGGAAATATTTGAAGCTTTATTAGTTGGGATGCTTCAGAAGAGAAATTCATCACCCTTATAGAGAAGATATTTCTGACTCATGGTTAAGCATACCGGTAACATGGTAGAAGATAGATCACTATACATGCAGTTTGTAGGGTTTTTTTGCTAAAAGCAATGCTTCAGAATATATTTTCCAGTTATTGAAAGAAAACTTTTATTTACTTATTAAATTTATATCCTGTCTTTATTTTGTGCAGTTCAAAGTAATAATGCTCCTTTGTCCTTTTATTCCTTTTTTCCATCAACAACAACCCTGTGGGATGGATTGGGCTGGGAGAAAATGATTGGCCCAAGTCACCCAGCCGGCTTCCATGCCTACCTGAAGGCTTAAACTCACAGTCTCCCAGATATTCCAAGCTTTTCTAATTGATCAACAGGATTTTTCATTGATTACCTTAACAATTGTTACATGAATTTTATATTTTTTTAAAGCAACGTTTACTGTTTTGAAAAAAAAAAGTATATTGTTGCAGTGTTGAACTTTTGTATACTGTTGTTTTCTGGAAACTTTTATGTAGATTGAAATGAGATGGTGATTCCCATTTTGTACTCAAAGGAATGAAACCAAGGAATGGAGGAATTCAGAAGAGGATTAGCAGACCATCAATTTTCAGCAGCAGAACAGACAAAATGGGGATTAAATAGAAACACAGAGAAAGGAAATGAACTCATGGTTTGGCAAGGAAAGAAAGGTGCCTTATGTAGTACAGGGAATAGAAAGATAGCCATCAAGATATGTTTTTATTTGTTTTGTTCCTATAGCACTGATTTTTTTTGAAGAGCAACACTTTACCTAATCTCTGGAGTGACATAGAAGAAATCTAAAAATACACACCTGTGACTCATTTACTAGTAGAATATTGGATCTGTTCTTACACACTATTTTTCAGTACAAACAAATCTGAACTTGTTTATACTGTAGCTTTAAAATATCAATTGGCCCTTATTGCCACCCTGTTGAAAATATCATTGCTGTAGTTGTAGAATACAGTACTACAGGCAATAATTCTTTATGGGGATAATTGTGTAAAGAAGGTCATGAAGGGCATCTTGCAGGTCCTCTGTATGTAGTGTAGCTTTTCTTTTCAGTAGCCATGATTGAGTAAAAATCTTAAAATATATGTCCCCTAAATCAGGGCTTTTCAACCAGTGGTACGGGTACCACCTGTGGTACATTGGCACCTGGCAGGTGGTACGCGATCATCCTAGAAAAGTGGTAGTGGGGGAGGGGAATGAGCTGAACCGGTGGCAGCACCACACAAGCCTGAGCGAGAGACGGCTGGAGCTGCAAGGCTGTCAGGGCTCAGCGGAAGCACTAGGATCAGCTCCAGGCTCCAGCTGGAGCTCAGCGCCGATCCTGGCGCTTCTGCTGAGCCCAGAAGAAACGCCGATCAGCTGGTATATTGCAACATCTCCAGGGTCTTGTGATTTACATTCAGATGCTTGGCAACTGATTCATATTTATAACGGTCACAGTGTCCCAGGGTCATGTGAAGTGACCAAAACCTGCTGCAACCACCCAGCAGACAGGGGGAATAAAAACCAAACACTCCCCCACCCCACCCCCGCTGCCAATCCTCAACAGAAATGCTCACAACAATGAAAACCTTGGACAGGAAGAAGAGTGCCGCCGGGTGGGCAGGCAGGTGTCTTGCTCAGCTGTGCCTTGGGGGGCACTTTTTTCAGTGCCAATGTAACAGCGAACTGTTGTAAGTTGAGGACTACCTGTACTTTATCACTTTTTTCCTTTTTTTTTTTGGGTCATCAAGTTTTTGACACCTTGCTAGGCGACTGGTGGTACTCGGATATTGCCATATCCTAAAAGTGGTACAATGGGTGAAAAGGTTGAAAAGCCCTGCCCTAAATGATGCAAAAGGATACAAAAAATAAAATAGAATATTTAAAAGAAAAAATACCAGCCCCGAACAACAGAAACAATAGCAACTGAGACACTAACAAACATTGCTTAGTAGCAATGATCACCTCCCACATTATCAATCTTCAAAGGCTTTCTGGAACAGCCAGATTCTGGATGCCTTCCTGAAGGCCAACGGAGATGGTGTGAGTTGACCTCGGGTGGGGCTTTGCTTTAAAGGAGAGGAGTAACTACAGAAAAAAAACACCCTCTTGTTCCTGATTATGGGAAGGATAGTACTTCAGAAATCATTTATCAATGGATTAGCAGAAGCTGTTGAGAGAATATGATCATACAAATATCCAGAGCCTAAGTTGTAGTTGTCAAGACTGAGGCACAATTAAAAGTTACACAAGATGCTTATAGCTCAGTCCAGAGAAGCAGCTCTCATCCCTACAGTAGTGGTAGTAATAATTAATTGATTGGTGTTATGGCCATATCAAATAAAAATAAAATACAGGGTCTAATTCCAGGGTAAAATAGATAAAAGGAAATACCCACAGGAATTTCCAGGAACAAGGTTAAGAGTCAGAAGTTTATCAACAGACTCAAAATCCTAGACTATGTAAATACCACCAAAGGATGACAAAGTACAATCCTCACGTCATACTCATTTTCCTTATCTTCAAACTTAGAGCCTCTGACTTCTCAAATCAGAGTGATCCAGAAACATACATGCAAGTTACAGAAACTGATTTTTGAATCAGAATAAGCCCTAGATGCTATTAAAGTAACAAGAATACTTATCACTTCAGAGATAGGAAATTGACATTTTAACCTTATCTCTTATATGTTTCTGGATTACATATCAATTACAGCTCAAAGAAAAGAAAATATAGTAAAATAGGACCCATTATATTGTAAAGGAAAACCAAACTGAGGAATATTGTTTCAGGAAAGAAAAGCAAATAAAGGAGTATAAGTTTTTCTATACTTTCATTCTTTTGGATACATTAAGATGGTGATAAACTGAAAGCCTCA